CCCCCCCCCCCCCACGCCTTACTACCTCAGATTTATTTCACGAGCTTTTTCCGAACTACAAGAAAATATTACGCAACAAACGCTCTTGCGATATTAAAAAAAAATCTTTTAACGCAGTTATCTTGAATTTTAATTCATGAAATCAGAGTCATCAAATTTCCATTATCTTCCCAAGGAAAACTGGAAAAAACCCTGATTTTTGTGGGTTTGGGGATGGGGCTGAAAATTTGATAAAATGGTTTGTCATCAGCAAAGAGTCCGTGTACCAAGTTTCAGCTCGATAAGTTGAAGGAAAGTGGGTCAATTAGCCATCCGAAGATTTTTACCCCAAAACACACAAAAACGAGGTTAATATAAGGGACTTAAAATAGCTTTTAAATTTGGTGAAGTTAATCGGTCAAATGATTATTTATACCAGAATTGTACAAACATTAACTATTATTAATGCTATATTTACTACTTATTTGTGGCATTTTGAATATGTCTTGATATTATTTTAAACAGTTTGTAATTATAAGGAATAACAATTTTTTGATGGCATATGATCATTATACTAATAAAACTTTATATTTTGTTTCGTCTTAAATGTATTGGATGCAAATAATTTTTTTTTTATGATTTAAGAGACGTAATTACAGTAATTGTATAATGAGCTCTTTTAACAAGCTCCTTCCCTTAGCAAAAAATCCGTGTGCACGGTCAAGCAAATAATTAGGATATTATTATTTTGAAATCCACCGATATTTCAAAATGGATTATGAAATATGCTTCTTCGCTGCAACAATACACGTACGCAGAACCTTTCATTGTAGCTTTAACCTTCGTGTATATTATCTTTGGCTGTTATAAATAAGGAAAATACAGTTTAGAATCTCCTGCTCTCACTTGGAACTTTCAATCTGATTTCACAAGATTTTAGGAAGTTTTAGAGATCTATCAAGCATAAGAAGCATAAGAAGCATAAAAAGGGCATCTTTAAAACTACCGTATCGATTAATATCTGATGTCAGATTGAATAAGGGTCAGAATGATCATGATCCTGGGCCCTTAATATATAGAAGAAGGGAGGAATAATATCTAGACACGTTTTTGTGTGTTTGGAATAAAAGAAGCCCTTACTGAATGTACAAAATGTAAATAATTTATTTTAAAAAAGCGAAATCTACAATGGACTGAAATTGTTCCGAGGGTAACAAATGATGTCTTTGAAACATTGCTATCCCCGATAAAAAGCACCACTCATCCAGGGACTCAGTTTTACCAATGGCCGATTTGGGGGGAAAGTCACACACGATTCTGCCTTCCACAAACACACACACCTACTAAATAAAGCTGGTAGTAAGAATTAATAAAATAACCCCCAAGCTCTGTAAACCGGCATGCACGCTAAAGCACCCTTTATTCACGCCACTGAACTATGGGATAATTCTAATGTACTGTTTTTGAAAGCAAATATATAGAATTAAGCTTTATTTTAAAAGTACCTGAATGCCCGTGTTTCTTTGACTTCAACAACAGTTACAATTAAACACATGTTTATTATACATATAGTCTTGCACGACGTGAGTTAAGCTGTATAAAAACTTGAAATACTTATATGCCAATAAAACAAGACGAAAGAATCCAAGTTCAAAGGGCTTTTTAAAAAAAAAATGATTGGGGGGGGGGGGCAACAAAAATCTTGTCTTGCCCTATCCTAGCTACCCCTCACCAAAAAAAGATAGGAAACAACTTATATCTTTAATCACTTCATTTGTTTCGTAAGGTTTGTGTCACCGAGGTGTCTTAGTTTTTTTTTTTTTAAAACAACAACAACAACAAAAAAAAAACAACAAGAAAACAAACCAATGTTTCGCCGATATAGTTTAAAAAAAAATGATTTAAAGGCGATCCACTCCCATAGGTAAGATAAGGACTGATCGATTCAATATCAATCACGTCAGCGACCGAAATAGTCAAGCACGGCAGTTCCAGTTTAGAGAAAATCCCCTGGTGGCCTCATCGACTTTCGGCGAACGATTTCACCAGCGGTCATAAATATTTGTAAAACCGAAACGCAGTAATAAACATTGTTTAAATAAATAAAAAATATATGTAATGTAAAACTCCATATTATTGACACGAATTCTAACTGGCAACGCTGCAGATTAAACTAGTTAAAATTAGATTTCAGCCAAATTAAGGAAGGCTCACAAAGTTTTGAAATTTAAAACTGCTGCTGAGAAGGCTATGCCCAGTTGGCTATGGTGTTAACACAAAATATTCATTTTGGTTCAATTTTAAACTCATATTTTTTTTTAACTGTTTGATTACAGGCGGTAACATCCTTCACTTTCAACTATATCAAAAAAAAAAATAAAATAAATATTGACAATTTGTGTGCAAAATTATAAGGAGCAGCCATTTATTGATGTTGTTTCTAACAGTCAAATGCAACAACCCCGTAATAACAAAGTTGTTCGAATAAATCTTTTATAAAGTGTTACTTCCATCAATTGGGGTGGGGTGGAGGGAAGGGGGTCAGGTAGGGCTAAAAATTTGACAATACATGCATGCAAGTAACGTACTTTATAAAAATCTCCATTAGTGCCCCCCATCACCCCGCCCCCCACGCAAAGGCTCGCAACCCCACATATTTTTCACGCCCCTGAACTACATTCTAGTGACCCCCCCCCCCCC